GGCCTACTTTCTGGTAAGAACCTGTCCTGCAATCCTGAAGGCACGTGGTTCAAATCGGTTCAACAGGAGGATGGCCAATCTCCTCCCATGCAATTAACTGTCTCTGAAGACATGTTGGTGGGTTGGCTATGAGTTGGTTGTGAGTCAATGGCGCACAACATTATATTCTCTTAGTAGTGGGTTAATGGTGAGGTTGCCATTCCAAAGACATGCAGTTCAAATTCACCAGCTGTTCTGCAAGAAAAGTTGGGCAATCTCCTCTCACTTGATTGTTTACCAAAACTCATTGGAGGTTCAGCTGTGGGTCACTTCTGACTTCTGGTGGCCTAGTGGCAAGGAGCTGCGCTGCAATCTCAAAGGCACTTGGTTCTAATCCATCAACTTCTCTGCGGGAGAAGGATGGGCAGTCTCTTCCTGTGTTGTCAAACAATTCTGAAAACTCACCAGAAAGTGAGCTATGGTTTGGGTCTGACTCAATGACACACAACAACATCAATAATTATAATTACACACACATAAAATTAATATTTAAATGAAAATGTTAAGATGTGTAATAATAATTTTTCTGACAAGAACAGGTCTAAAGGGTAAGAAATTTCATTAGGTTCTGGAGACAGAGAGCAAGAGAGCAAGAGCGAGAATAGATACCAATTTGTGCATTTTAGGAAAAATGGAAATACTATGTGTTGCTTTTCAAAGAAAAGAATAACATTGAAAGAGGTTTAAAACAAGTATAACAATACATAAAATTCACGCCATCATATATTTTAACAACTCAAACGAAATTCATTGTCTTCTACCTGGAACTGACTCAGAGTAAATTCTCCACTTGCGTTTTGGAGGCTGTAAATCACCTACCAGGAGATTTCCCATCTTTTTCCTGCAGAGTCGCGTGTGTATTTGAATCACTGGACATGGGGCCTGTTGGATGAGCAGTGCAATGCTCTGTGGACAGCGCCTCCACAGCTCTCTCAGGGGCTGATGGTCCACTGGGTTTCTTAAGATATAAACGGCACAGAGACTGACCATCCTGTTCCCAGGGAGCTGCTGTTGGTTGATAGCGACTCCCAGAGTTAGCAGACCAACTCTGTTAACAAAAGAGCTAACTAACAAGACAAAATCCATTTTCATTTAAACTCAAACTCATTGCATCAAGTTAGAACTGACTTATAGCTGACCCTTCATTGGGTTTCTGAAGTTGTAAATCACGGAAGAGCAGGAGATTGTCCCTCAGAGAAATACAACATGGCTCCCTATGGAGTTGCCTAATTTTAATTTAAGAGATACCTAAATGGAATTGAATTGAAATGTTGAAGATCAACATTTTGAATGGAAACGTTTTACCATATATTAGCTAATGCAAATGTCATTTGGGGCTTTATAAAATCTGCATGACTGTCTAATGATATATTTACTCTTCCTTACATGTAACTCAGTTAGTTAGATAAGAACACACAGTGTTGTTTTTTTTAAAATTTTTTTTTCTCAACTAGTTTATTTATAAAATTTGTATACAAATTTGAACAAATGCGTTCAATTTCCCTCACCCCCCTACTCATCAAATTGTACAACCCAATGATTAATGGCCCCTTCCCCCTGTACATCCATATCCCTCTGCTTCCAACCTCTCCCATCCCTCCTGGGTCCTTATACTCATTCTACAATAATGATTTTACATATTTATCCTTGTGGGACTGAGTT